GAAAGAGCTGTTGCATGGGACTTTACCTCGTTCATGTTCGTCTACATGGGTGGAAACTTGTAAACTGACTGAAAACTATGCTCATGACGTAGTTTCTCTTGTAAATGTTGGATACCATAAACTATTGCCAACCGCTCTGATGGCGATAGGAAGGTATAAATCTAGGCTCATCGTTTTGTTGGTATTTATCATCAGTTCAGGCCTGTATCTGGCCATGAAAGGCTCGTCGAGGTGGAGTGGTCACTCCGGTCAGTACAAACTCCAGGATGAAAATCAATTACAAGGTATGGAAGCGCAGATTTTACCACACGAAGGGGGGATTCTTTAGAGGAGGGGTGATCCCTCCCTGCCCGGCGCGCCCCTTATAAAAAAGAACCATTTACCATGGTTGTTTTGTCCAAATTACCATCCACAATGGTAACCATGGTATCAAACAATGATAAGTTCAGATAATTTCATTGTTTGATACATTGGTGGATGGTAATTTGGACAAAAAAAAAACATGACTACCATGATTCTTTTTTATAAGGCCCCGCCCGATTTATAAAATATGACATTTTTTGTTGCTGGTGCTTGTCATTGTTTCTAGACAAAAATAGCTTCCAACATTTTGAAAAAACATTTAAAAAGTAATTTATCAATGAGTATTACGTTTTGTAGAAAACTTCCAATCAGATGACCCCTTTTTAAGGAGTATTACTTTGTTTGTCAGGGAAATCGTTTTAGACCCGTAGCCAATTGTCATTTGTCACCATCCCCGTATTTATACTGAATGAGTTGTAGGATTTAAAAAACAGAGTCCAGGTCTAGAGGAAATTCTTGCTTAAAGGTAATACAAAGTTTTGGGAGATTTTGAAAATTGGGTGGATAGTGATTCTTTACAATTTTGAAATATTTGGATGCCCCTGTGAATGTATTATTATCACTAGAAAATTTAGCCCTTAAAAAACTTCTACTTTCGAGAGAAGTTGAATATACAAATTTCAAATAGCGGCCGTTCAATGGTAGCTGCGACCATGAAAATCTCCGAATATGTACTTGTGATATATATAATTTCCAAACGGGAATAGCTTATCGGTCGATTTTAGTCAAGAAACATTGTTTTATTAATATCTTGACCTTGAGAGGGAGCTATACAACATAACGAGTTTATTATTTATAATTTCATAAATTTCATAGCTGCAACAACGATCACTGAATATTGTAGGATCACATATGCTTCCACTACGTTCATTTGACCAAATTCATGACCCCATACCAAAACTTTATATTACCTTTAAGACACCCTCTATATCAATTTTGTATACACTTGCTCCTTCTGCAACTATGATCCTGAATTTGCCACTCTTATCATGTATTTTTGTATACATCATCATCATCCTCACCATCATCACCATTATCATCATCACCATTATCATCATCATCATCATCATCATCACCATCACCATTATCATCATCATCATCATCATCATCATCATCACCATTATCATCATCATCATCATCATCATCACCATTATCATCATCACCATTATCATCATCATCATCATCATCATCACCATCATCACCATTATCATCATCATCACCATTATCATCACCACCACCATCATCATCATCACCATTATCATCACCATTATCATCATCCTCACCATCATCACCATTATCATCATCATCATCATCATCATCATCATCATCATCAGTATCAGCACCACCATCATCATCATCACCATCACCATTATCATCATCATCCTCACCATCATCACCATTATCATCACCATCACCATCATCATCATCACCATTATCATCATCATCATCACCATCATCATCATCATCATCACCATTATCATCATCCTCACCATCATCACCATCATCATCATCATCATCACCACCACCATCATCATCATCACCATCATCATCATCATCATCATCACCATTATCATCATCATCATCATCATCATCATCACCATCATCATCATCACCATTACCATCATCATCATCATCATCACCATCATCATCACCACCATCATGATCATCACCATTATCATCATCATCATCATCATCATCATTATCAACATCATCATCATCATCATCACCATTATCATCATCATCATCCTCATCATCACCATTATCATCACCACCACCATCATCATCATCATCACCATTATCATCATCATCATCATCATCACCATTATCATCATCATCACCATCATCACCATCATCACCATCATCACCATCATCATCATCATCATCACCATTATCATCATCATCATCATCACCATCATCACCATCATCATCATCATCACCATCATCATCATCATCATCACCATCATCATCATCATCACCATCATCATCATCATCACCATCATCATCATCACCACCACCATCATCTTCACCACCACCATCATCATCACCACCACCATCATCATCATCACCATTATCATCATCATCATCATCATCATCATCATCATCATCATCAGTATCAGCACCACCATCATTTTCATCTTTATCGTCACCACCACTATGATCATGTTTCTCCTATAGACAAACGGGAAGTAAGTTCCTTTCTCTCTGGATCCCTTTACATACAACCTGTGATCATCTATAACGAGTCCATGACCGATGCGGGACCGAGGTATGAATGCACAAAGGACGAGGTGAATGAGGACAATGTTGATGAGGACGAGTTGACTCTCTACGGGAAACCAGTTTATGCAAAGGTAAGGGGTGAAGTTTTTCAAAGAACTATATTAGGTCCGATATCGATGACAAACATAAACGATCAAAAGCCATACCATGAAGGGAGCTGATATATTCGTTTATATTTCGTGCGTATTGAATCGTAATGATTCTGTTAATACCATTTACCTGCAAACTATTTACAAAAGCTACTGCACTTCCTTTTCTTGGTCATAAATCTGTCGGGAGAGGCAAACTGCCCCCCTAACCCTTTCAAATACGCTAATGCTATCATTTAATATACACTGTCGCTCATATAGTTGGAATATTTTGTTTACCCTAAAATTATTTATGGAACTATTTTGACAATGATTTATTCCTAATAGATCTAGATAATAGTATACATTCTCGGATTTTATTGAATAATAATTTGCCAGTGTTTGTTTTGCGTGACTGCTAAAGCATGTGTTTGCTACTATGCTTATCAACTAGGGGACCTACGCCCTTAAGTAAAAAAATCCTCTGTACGGCCATGCATTATGGCTCAAGGCATGGGCACACAGAAGATTTTTTTTTCGTTTGGGACCGGGGGGGGGGGGAATTCAATGAATTATTGATAATTTATTTCATTTTCTTTTTTCTTTTTATTTGTGGGAACTGCCCCTACCCTAGCCCCTGCTGCGTACAGTCATGGTTCAGTGGCAAAGCAATGGCCTCGTAACTGTGAGGCCCCAGGATCAAAACCGTGTCGATGTGCCATATTAGTGCCCTTTTGTGGGGCATTAATCCTCATTACTGTCATTTATGACTTAAGGGCGTAGGTCCCCTAGTTGATAAGCATAGTAGCATACACATGCTTTAGCAGTCACGCAAAACAAACACTGGTAAATTATTATTCAATAAAATCTGAGAATGTATACTATTATCTAGATCTATTAGGAATAAATCATTGTCAAAATAATTGCATAAATTGGGGTAAAAAAAAACATTCCGACTATATGAGCGACAGTGTACTATATCATGAACCATTCATATCCTTTTTTAGAATAAAACTGTGTTATACCTGAGCATGCCTAAGTGTGGAAGCCGTACTTTCGTGTGGACGATATCTTTGTTACGGCACGCGCATCATTTCGGTAAACCAGTCAACATTCAATACTTGCTCGGGAAGCGTCACGTCTCCAAAGTTGTAAGAACAAACTATTTATTATTGTTTCCTTCCTAAAAAAGACTTATTCATTGATTTGGAATAATTTTTTTGTTTTTTGTTTTGTATGCGTTGGGAAATATTCCCATTTCGGTAACCAGCTATGGATTTCCTTTAAAAAATAAAATAAAATTCTTCCGGGAGAGGGTAGGCAAGGGACAAAATTGCCCACTGTATCTGGGGGCAACTCCCATTATTGGTTTCAAAATATTTTACCTATATGTTTGTATATCGTATTATCACTATGATTATTGTCATTAGTAGTAGTACTGTTACTGTTCTTATCATTGTTTAGTATTATTATTATTATATTATTATTATTATTATTATTATTATTATTATTATTATTATTATTATTATTATTATTATTATTGTTATTATCATTACCGTAATTATTATTTTAATTATTATTATTATCATTATCATTATTTGTATTATTATCATTATTGTAATTATCTTTATTTTTATTATTATAATAATTGTTATTATTATTTATCATCATTATCATCATAACCATTATTATGAGAAATGCATTTCATCATCGCTTCAACGGCATAGATGTGTTATAATTTGTTTGTTTTTTGTATTTATTACACAATTTGGCAGTCTCTCATGGTAATTCTATTTCCAGAGGAAGCATCTTTCTTCCAAACTGCTGGAAGCTGAAGATGGAGCTATCCTGCATGGCCATTACCGCTATATCAACATGAATCGGTGAGTTCGAGTTTCCCTACAGCCATTTTTGGGGGAATTTCCGTTGTGCGGGCAATCTGCCCTTTCTTTTCGGTAGAGAGGTGGATGCTTTTGTAATTTATCATAGATTGCCTAACATACTTTAGACACAAATAACGACAAAAGAAATTCGTTAACATTAATTTTTAATATGGAAAAATGTACTTTTTTCATAGATGAAACAATAAAACAAAAAAAGAAGGTATGAAGGAACAGAATGAGATGATAAGAAAAGAATATGACGCAGAAAGTAAAAATCAATATAATTAAAAGGAATATTTGTTTTGAAGAAGGTAGGAAGGTAAGGGTGGAGGGGTGTGGGTGAAAAGAAAAAGGATACAGAAAGGATGAAAAGGAAGGGGGGGGAGGGAAAGAGAGAGAGAGAGGGAGGGGGGGAGGAGGGGCTGATCTTGTGCTTCAGAGTAAGATAGAACGAGAGAGAGAGAGAGAGAGAGAGAGAGAGAGAGAATGAGAATGCGAGAGAGAGAGAGAGAGAGAGAGAATGAGAGAGAGAGAGAGAGAGAAGGAGAGAGAGAGAAAAAAAAAAGAGGGAGAGGGAGGGGTTGATCGTTTGCATGTGAGTGAGGGAGAAAGAGAGAAAGAAAGAGAGAGAGACAGAGGGGGGGAAGAGAGAAAGTGAGAGAGAGCGAGAGAGTTGGAGAGAGAAAGGGGCGGTTAAGGGAGAGAGAGACACACACACACACACACAAACACACACACACGCACGCACACGCACAGAGAGAGAGAGAGGGAGAGAGAGAGAGAGAGAGGTTGGGAGTGCGGTGGGTGGTTAAGGGGTATGTATGGCTCGCAATCGCCAAGGTATGAATTTAAAAATCATTATAATTTCGTTTTTTTTTTCTTTGTTTTTTAAACCCTCATTTTCTTCTTTCTTCAATCTCTTTATCAGTTCGCCCGAGAAGCCCATCTTGATGAGCATGATCCGTGACCCCATTGACCGATTCGAGTCTCATTTCTACTTCATAAGACATGGGGACCTGGACATGAGCAAAGAAGTGCTCCAGAAAAACATCAAGGCCGACTCAAATATGGCACTTCCAAACGAGGTAAATAGTACGAATCTTTCTTAAAGGTAATTCAAAGTTTTTGGAAATTTTGAAAATTGGGATGGATAGTAATTCTTTCAAATTGTTATATATTTGGATGCCCCTGTAGATGTATTATAAGCACTGTAAAATTTAGTTCCTAAAACACTTCTGCTTTCGAGAAATTGAATAATCAAAAATTTACCTGTGCTCCCAGTAAATTTCAAATATTTCAAATAGCGCTTAAGGCCATTCCATGGTAGCTGCGACCATGACAATCTCAGAATATGCAGTTCTGAGATACAATTTCCAAGCGGAGATATACAAATTGGTCGATTGTAGTAAAAACAACAACATTGTTTTAAAGCTAAAGTTATATCAGTCTTGAGAGGTAGCTTTAACATCATAAATAGTTTATTATTTACAATGTCATCACTTTAGATTCGATTTCAACCGCGACAACGATCATTGAATATTGAAAAATCGCATATGCTTCAAATATGTTCATTTGAAACGAATTCATGACCCCATACCAAAACTTTGTATTACCTTTAATGAAATAAAATTAAAATCTGTCTTGCTTAAATGGGACGAATTGAATGATTTCAACTTAGTGTGGCAACCATCAGCGTGAACATCCTTTATTATCATGGGCGTAAGGGCAAACTTTTGCCGGGTGCCGAGAAGGGGGAGGGGCTGACCTCTATTGCCCGGATATTTTCCAGTTCCGGGTTCAGATATTTAAAAGAAATCTGGAAAAAAAAGAAGAAAACTGTCATCTTAAATGTGATCACAATCTCTCTTTGTTCAAGTTCGGTGTTGAAAGCTGGTTTTGGTGTTGTGAGAACACCAACACCAGCTACAACACCGAACTTGAAGTCATGCTGGTGTTGAGGTTGACCTCGGAAAATATGATGCATTTCCGGTAGTCTGTGTTGAGGGCTGGTGTTGAATGTCGTCTGCTGAACCGAGTATCGCGGATGGTGTTGACGATTTACGTGTAATTTTCCCATTCACCAACACCAGCCCCTAGGGATTGGGAAATTCATGATTTCAAGTTCGGTGTTGGTGTTGGTGTTGCAGTATACCGCAGGTAACTATGCGGACATCTGGCACGAATCTCACGATCATGCCAAGGTAAAATCCATCGTACAGTCAACACAGCTGTAAATCATGCTAGCTATATATGTTTTTCAAGAGCAATTATATTTTATCTATTGATTTTCTAATATGACTTTACATTTGATATTCGATATGATGCAATTTATTGGAATTTCTGAATGGATTATGCTTTTATCGCAAGACTTTTCGCGTGTAGAGTAGGACGTCACTCGGTTTTGAGGCTGGTGTTGAGCTACCGATAACGCGCACGCATGATCGGTATCGTCCTTCTAAACTGACCGTCTTCAGCAGCCTTTCCACGCTCTCATAACCAACACCAACACCAAAAACCGTACTTGAAATCACTCAATGACTAGGTGAACGATATATTCTTGCTGTTTATAGTCGTGATTGCTTTGGTCTAACCACAGAGCTTACTTGAATTAACCCAGTTGATCTACCCATCCCGTCGGTGTCTATTCTCATTTTTGATTAAATATTATCATACCATTGTTTTCAGTATTTTGTTTGTTCATATATTTGTTTGTTGTTGTTGTTGTTTTTGCAGACGCTAGATGACTGCGTTGAGAAGGAAAGACAAGAATGTACACTCAGCTTATACCGTAATATGTATATTACATCATTCTGCGGCTACGCCCCAGGATGCAGGTATCTATACCTCTAACTCGCTTTAAGCTCGCGTTAAGCTCACTGCACACTATACAATCCCACTACGACCTGACTACGATCTGATGTTGTTAGAAATGTCAGTTATGTGGACAGTCGAACATGCAAACTCTATCAAGTTCTGAATATTCATACTATGAATAGCTAAATGAAAATGGCTGGATGTTGCGGGCCTCGGTTGGTGGAAGGCCATATCGCCTCGCGCTTAGAATCGTAGTGACGTCATTATGACGTCATTCATATTCATACCATCCATTATTCATACTAATCATACATGGAAATTCTTACCTAGGAATAGCAAAGTACAAAATTAAATGACATGGTGATGTCACTAAATTGAAAAAAGTATCTGTTTTCGACTTCAGAGCAGCGACCGACCGATCAGTAGCCTGCTCGGTCGCTGCATGCTGGAATTAGGCATCGCCCATCGATTAGGTCGGTGCCCGGGCGGCGATCGCCCAGGCACCGAGCGTAATTTGGGCGGCGAGTGAAAAGTCAGCAGGCGCCGCCCAAATTTTAATTCCGCGCTAAAACTTCAGCGGCGACCGAGCGATGCCCTAAAAACGAACGTTGCCTGGGCGGCCGCCGCTCGGTGGCCGGGCAGCCGCCGGGCAGCATTGGTTAAAAACTCGCCGCTCGGCCGCCGAGCAGGCTACTTTTGGGTAATGTGACCATAGCATTAACTAGCTCTCTAACAGATCATGGAAACATTGTCTTCGGGCAAGGGAAACCAGCCCCCTGACATTTCGCCCATTCGCCTATGAATCTTATTATTTATTTCATTCATTTTATTTTAAGGTATATATTCCTACATCATGTTTATATCTACTCCATATTCATATATGCATTCAGTGTGTAATTTACTTTCTTACAGTTTATGTATGCCTACGTGCACGGTACAGGGAAACATGTCACAATGATTAAAGAAAATGAATGAAAACATCGAAAAATCAAATTCAATCATTTAAAAAACATAAAGTGGTGAAAATCATCACGTTTTGACGTTTAAGTAAAAGTGTTGTTGAATTGAGCGCCGACCAGTGTAATTACAATTGTACAATTTTCATTGTGTCATTATTATACTATATCTTTATAGCTATCAAGGGAAAAACATTAATTATAAAGAAAATAACGAAGCTGAATGCTAATCTATGATTTCCTCTTGCCTTTCCTTTCCACAGTATATCCCCCTCCTTTGCTTTGGAAGAAGCCAAACGCAACATAGACAAGTTTTTAGTGATCGGAGTGATGGAAGAGTATGATCTCTCTATGGCCGTCTTTGAAAAGCTATTGCCAGAAACATTTGGAGGAGCAGCGAAAATATATGACGAGAGCAAAAGTAAGAATTTTAGTCTTTTCCCTCGACGGCGTGAAATGAGTGAAAATCGATTTGTATTCATATCAAAAGTTATGAACTATACAGTGCGCCCCGGAAAAAAAACGAAACCGAGAACTATCGATGTTTTATTTTAACTTAATCACAACTATAATTATTAAACGAACTCGTTTTCACTGGCTGCTTGCCGTAGCAACAAGCAAAAACCTCCGTTTTGTTGACGATCAGCCAGGGGCGGATCCAGCTGGCTGCAGGGAGGGGGCCAAAGTTGGGGTCCAATTCGTGAAGAAATATTTAGCGGCGAAACAGCCAGCCGGTGAAGAAGCGGGGGGGGGGGGGGGGGGGGGGGGGGGGGTAAATAAAGGTAACAGTAACCTGTATTTACCTGTTTTTCCCAGGGGAGGGGCTCCGGGCCCCCACCCCCTGCATCCGCCACTGCGCTCAAAAAATAAGATGGTTTTGTAATGATATCTTGTTGTATCTTTGAAAGTCGATATGACTCAATATTATGGGGATTTTTCAATGGATACAAATTTAACATGATTTGTGTGGTTTTAGGACCTGTCATTTGTTTTGTTTGAGGTAATTCTCATGAAAACTTTCTTTTCGTTTTTCCACTGTTTGTCTTATTTTAGGTCAACCGATGACAAAATTCAAAACGACCTATAAGAAGCTTCCTTCTCAGGGAACATACTCCATTTTAAAAGAACGGATGAAATACGACTACATGTTCTATGATTATGTGAAGAAGCGGCTGCACAGAATCGCGAGGAGGCTAGGCATAGGTCAATGCTCCAGTATGTGGTAGTTGAAATTAAACTTGAAATTTCATGCATGGTATTGTTTTTAAAGGTAAAGACCAGTTATGGTCATGCGATTGCATTGTGAAAGAAACGTTGTGGAATCGATCAGAAAAGGTTGATCATCTAGCATCTAGCATCTGCAAGGTTCTGGAATCATCAAAATGATAAGAAATTTGGCCCATTCTTCGTAAAGTTACAAGCACTATACACAGAAAGATGTATATGGGACTACCCTATATCTCTCACAGACCATGAGAGAAACAAATTTACCAAATATATGAATTAGTAGGCGGTTTCCCGGCAAATTTGTTATCATCATGTATTAGTCAAAACATATTCTTTCACATGATTGGTAATGAGAGCTTCCATTTCATTTTTTGAAATTGGGGCGTTTCCAATACTGGTCTTTACCTTTAACATGATCGCAAGGACTTTCAGGAAATCAACAAAAACATGATAATACATATATTAAGATTTTTATTTTGCCAAAATATCTCTGGACATAATATGTTTATTGACTTCCAATCATATATACCTATCTAAAATCCCATCTTGGGGCTACCATCCTAGCCAAGCATCGCTTATGATTGCGGTCTCCTGCAGTTTTTCACAGATAGTTCGGATAATACTTTAAATTTATAATAATATACATTATATTAGAAATATAAAGTTTCGTTATTATATGTACATAACATTTTGACATTAAGTGACTATTGTTTGCATATTGCCTTACGTTTATATGTTCTTTGTTATTCACTTATTGTATTTGGAAAAATGCTAAAAAATAAAACAAAGTAAAATCAAATCATAATCGTAACGACTTATAATACTTTCTACTCCATGTGTGCTTGTTGTGTTTCATTTAGGTTAAAACGAAACGAATGGTAAAACTCTTACATGGTAATTCGTATGTTATTATGTTCGAAATGAATATTCATTCTGTATCTTTCTCATCCGATAACAAAATCACTCTTTTGAAGAAATAAACCCAGAAGCCTTAGTTTACAGATATAATATGTGGATGTATCAAATCGTTCAACATGATAAACTCATTTAAAAAGTATATATTTGTATCATGGATGTCATGTACTAGGATTTATATATAATTTATATGATTTATGTTATATATATGAATATAATATTGATGTATTTGATATTTGATAAAACACAATAAAACTCATATTCACTGGCAACGTTTCATCAATATTCATATGGAAAAAAACATGAAGGACAAAACAGAGAAACGCCGATTTATTGGACCTGATGAATGCTGCTTGTAGAAAAGCGTGGAAAATGTGAACGTGTGTGTGCGTGTGTGAGTGGGAGGTACATAGCTTCAATGCATGTTTTCAGTTGCTTGCCTTCCCTTGCTTCTCTTCCGTTTTTACAAAAATCTATCTATCTGTTACAATGGGTACTACTTTTCAAAGCCAGGGGCTATATATATATATATATATATATATATAGTTTTTTTAGGGGGGGGGGGGGGGGGGGGTAAGAGGACACTTTTTTTTGGGGGGGGGGGGGGTCACAAAATTTGACATTTTACATTTTGCTCCGTTGTGGGGGGGGGGGGGGGGGTAAGGTCACCTTTTTAGGTCAGCCATCTGCATTTAAAAAAAAAAATTAAATTAAAAAAAAATAAAAAATTTGGCCGGGGGGGGGGGGCACGCCCCTGTTTTTCAGTACATTTTGGGCAAATTTAGGGCTGATTTTAACATATTTTTTGGCCGGGGAGGGGGGGGGGGGGGGGGGGGGCACGTGCCCCCTGTGCCCCCCCCCCCCCCCCCTGGATCCGCCGCTGAAAGATATATAATTTCTTTCTAACTCTTCTAAGCTGCGATTCTCTGATCAACCATACATTTCCACTTTTTCTCGTCTTCAACTCTCGCTCTCTTTCTCTATTCTGAAGTAATATTCCTTTCTATTTCAAAATGTGTCTGTTTAATTCCACAGAGAATGCTATTTTTGTCTCTGCATCTCTCTCACTAGCTATCTTCACCTTCGTTACCTTGTTTTATTTCATAAACTTACTCCTTCAATTTCCCTCTTAAATTTTAATCTGTTTAATATGAAGAGCTGCCTTCATTCAACCCTCCACCCTCTCCCTCTTCCATTTTAGAAATTCAACATATTCATCATTATTTTCCTTCTTCCTCATTTTCTTCTTTTTTGTTTTCTTATTATCCTTGTACTTATTATCATTTCTATCATTATTATTTTAATGTTGTTATTATTATCATCATTATTATCTTTAATAAGTTTTTTTTCTTATCTGTCTGTAAATAATACGAGTTTAACTTATTAATTTTGTATACGTATGTCGGGGACCTATTGGAAATGAGCTCTCGAGCTTTCGTGGGTTATCCTGTTGATCTGTTAGTCTTTTATATTGTTGTATGTTGAGGCTTGGCGAATAAAATCAATCAATCAATCAATTCTTTCTGTCTCTGTCTCCGTCTCTCTCTGTCTTTCTCTCTCTCTTACTTCCCCATCTCTCCTATATCTTTCAACTCCACTGTTTGTTTCCTTCTACATTAAACACGAGAGTCAGTTAAAATTGCCATCTTACACAAGATCCATTCACCTAAAATACAACAACACGGCAACGCTCATTTTCAGAAGTCAAACAGAATTTATTATCAATATTTTAACATTTCATTTTTTAGTGTGATTTCATCAGTGCATTATTAACATCACCCTACCATTTACAACTACACAAAGTTCAACTGGACAACAACAAAGCGAGAAACAACTTTCGTGTCAATGGAAAAAAAAATATTGAAGCAGTGACCACAGATAGAGTAAAAGAAAATCTTAAAAACAAAAGTTAATGGCTAAATACTTCATATAAATTTAAAATATGCAGAAGAAAATAGTCTACTATTTCATTCTAGTGCGGACATTTGGTAGGTGTTCATAATAAGTAGAAATCTTAGTGCACAATATTGCAAAAATTGTTTTAAATTACGAAATAGAGAGAGGCTGCCACGATAGAAGCGCCCATTTCACAGC